ACCCCCCCCCCCCCCTGCCAGGCTGGCTCCTGCGTACGATGCTCCGCACGTCTTGCTTGAGGCGAGAGATTTCCGCGTACGTCGGGAAGAGCGGCATCGGGACGATGTTCGATGATTTCGTCGAGCAGGCGTCGCCTCGACGAGTTCACACTCCTAGCCAACCTGGTGGTTGTGGCACCGCATCGTCTCATCCTGTGTACCAGAAGGAAGAAGTGTCACCCGGCAGCCCCGGTCACGCTTCTTGTCAGGCATGCACCGATGTGCAGAGACAAGAAAGGAGCACTGTCGGTGGAAGCCGTTTCAGGCCCCCGCAAAGCCGATGAACCGCTCCTTCCGCTGCGCGTCCGTCAGGCCTCCCACGTCGTGCCACCACAACGCCGCCTCTCCGCTCCTGCTCGTCAGGGGAGTTTTGCCGCAGTTCAGATTGCTCAGCCAGGGAGGCGGTGGCGCCCGTTGTTATCGCCTTGTCCTCCGTCGCGGCCTCCATCAGCAATATCACGGACGCATCACTATCGATGTTCCGTACACGAACTTCTTTGTGGTGTCCCTCACCTCAGAGTACAGAAGGCGCAGACATCTTGTCTTACGACGCACGGCGTTCGCTCCCTCTGGAAAGCAAAACCCCAAAAAGGGGGGAGAGCAGTGCCGGTGGGAGCCCGGTGAGACGACTGTGAAAAATGATGAAAGTGGGCGATGGCTTTCGGGAAGTCAAGAAGCAATGGATGTCTTTCATCGCCACACAGAAAACAAGCAAAAAGATGAGCACAGAGGAGGCGAAGAGGGAGAACGGTGCAGGAGGACGCAGGGGACAAAAACAAGAGGCGGAGGAAAAGACACAACACAATGTCGTGCACTCGCCGTCGACGCGGTCGGACAGAGACGGAAAAGGGCGGCTGGCAGCATCAGTCCCTCCCATGTGCGGCTTCCTCGCCTTCGTACTTATCCCAGTTGGATGTATGAATACCTCGGGATAGCCTCGCGCCTCTTGACGTGCTCATACTAGGTTAAATAGTTCTTGATTTATTTGCAAATGAGGATGTGTGTGGGTGCGTGTGTAGGAATACATAGAAGTTTCCTTCCAGTGCATTTTCACGGACGACTTCAGAACACCCCACCGCCACTCCATCAGGTAAAACACGTTCTGCGCCACCGCTCGCATCACGCACGAACGAAATCACTCAGAGATGAAAGGGAAAGTGAGAAATTCATTCGAGGTAGCTTTCCGGCGTCGGGCAGAGCACCGCGGAGACGGGAAGCAAGGAAGAAATGACCGCAAAGTTTGTGAAGCTCTGCAGTATTCGAGAGCACGACCAGACGTGGCTCGATGCAGACATTCACACTGCGCTTTAGAAAAAAAAACTGTGTATTTCATGCACAGCATCATCACACTACTGTCTTTAACCACATGAGAAGAGATTGAAAACATGAGAA